CAAAACGGTACTTTTCCCACGATGGAATTAATATTTAAAAGTGTCTGGCGGTCATAAGTAAACAGTGATGACACAATCTGAACAAAAGTCAAGAAAAATAGCACAAAAAGTAACAACTTGAGGAGAGACAGACGACAAGCCACGTACAACGGCACCATCTTGTCCCCAAAAAGATTCCTCCTGGTTTAAAAGTTCCATTTTCCTTCTCTCTTTTCATCACTTACAACTTGATCTTTGAATCCTTGACAGGTATGGCACAAGTTGGTCCCAACCCCTTCCAGCTGGCTGGACTGCGTGATCTTAGAGGTGGGGCCGGAAGTCAATGGTTACGAGTGGTTCCTCTGGCTCCGGGAAATGGAAGAGTTGACCCCATTGGATCGTTGATTCGTGGTTTGTTGGTGCGTCAACAAGTGGTGCAACTTCGTCAGGAGAACATCATGAGAAATCCCGACCTGGAGCAAAGTGTAGGGGCACTCAGCATGATTGGTGGTGGACTGGACGAGATGGGGTTTCCGCGAGTGTTGGGCCCGGGTGCCATGCAGGAGCTCATCCTTGCGGCCGCAGGGGTGGTTGCAATCGCGGCTGATGATCTAGCCATGGATGTCGAGATAGATGTGCGAGGGTTTATTAATAATTGGCCTGGCAATTTTCCTGTGATGCCTGATAACAATGGTCTCGTTATCTTGAGAGCTCAAAATTGGGTTCAATGGATGCAGATCATGAGAGCAGCTGCTGCATCAGCTAATAATGACCCTGTCCCTGTTCCGCAGGGTGTTGCTCTTAGGCCTCTTCCAAATGAGTTGCATCCTTGGGCACTGTGTGGTTACCACAATTATGACCGACAAAACCGTGTCGATATTCCACAGCGCACTGGTCAAGAGCCGGCAATTATTGAGCTGATTACGGTGATAGCTTTGTTGGCACCTGCAGGAGCTCGCAGAAGGAACGAAATTCTGAATCTCATTGTCCTCTCCGTCGTGATTGTTACCTCCTGCGGCAACATCACTCCTGCTCAGCTCCGTCGAACCCTTCAAGCGGCACAAAGAGAGACACTTGCAGAAATTGACTTTCCCAAAGAGGCAGTTCTTGCTGGGTGGGATTATCTTAGTGCTCACTGGGCTGGTCAGGCAATTGGAGCTGAGTTCCAACAAATGTTCCAATGGTTGGAACAATCTACTCATGCTATTGCACTCTGGCAGGGCATCATGTGTCAACAGGCGGAATGGAAAATGTTGACTGGCATTGTCACTATTATCGGATCCATCAATGGGTTCCAAGATTTCCCGTGGCAAGAGCTCTTTGACATGATTCGCCACCTCACAGGCCATGATGAAGCAGCGGCTATTGTTGATTTTGCTGCTTACATAGATCCTCCAGCTGTCCCTCAAGCTCCAGGAGCAGCCGCAAATCCTGCCGGAGGACACTGGGCTGGTTGGGAGTTCGCACTGCGAACCCAGAACCAAGGTGGACTCAAGAATCCCCAGTTCATCAACACTCTCTATTGTGCATTGCAGCTTTCCATCCAGGCCGGAGGAAACCAGAGCTTGAGATCATATGCAGCATTGGATTTTGCAACTGTTCCGGCTCGCACGGTGATCGATACATGGATTGCTGGTTACATTAACCAGAGAGGTGCAGGGAATTTCCCATTTCCTCAAGGCAACCTCCAAGCTGCTGGTCCAGCTTTGTTAGCCATTCGAGGCCACCACATTTAGGGACTCTCATCTGTGTAACCCCCACTCCTCCATCCATGTCTTAAACCGTCCAGATGGGGCTTTCTTCTATTTCATACGGGTTCTCTTCTTTCTTACTCTGTATCCTCTCTTCCCTTTTCGTTCTCCCCAGTTGGGTTGAAGTCTCGCTTGTTCAGAAGAGGTTTGCACATGTTCAGTGCTGTGTTCAATAAGATTTAGTGTGTTTGGATTTTCTAGCTAGGGCGTAGTTTAGTGTTTAGTTTTAGTTTAGTCAGTTTTAGTGTGTTTGAGTCAAAACAATGAGGCAGTATTCACGAGGCTCCACCTAATGTTTGAGGTGGGGGATGGAGCAGAAGACCCAGAAATGGACATAGCCACAGAGTGTGAACCTTCTCAGACAGAAGAGGCAAAGATTAAAAAGAAAATCAGACTCTAAGGCCCTGTTTACACAAGGCTTTTTTAAGTGAAACTGCAGCTTTTCTGCTATATTGCAGCCGTTTATGTACACAACAACAGCCCTCGTTCTCTCTGAAACCGAAGGGTTCTGAATTCTGGTCGCAGAGTGGAGGTTTTCAGGGGAACCCCATGCAGAGGTGTGAAATGCTCAGCAGTTGTGAAGTTGCACATGCACACTAACGGCGGCCAAAGTCAAAAGGTTGTTTTTGTTGCATTATAAACAGTTAAAATAAATGGCATGGAGTGTTTTTGTGTTGCTCTCACTTTTTCAGCATGTAGGAACAAAACCAATTAAATCCTAGGTCTGAAGATATGTTACGTCTATTTACCAGTTGGGAAATAACTGATTATAACAGACATTGAATGTGTGATGCATGAAGAACAGTTCGGCATCAGGGTTAACAGATATTAAAAATGTTTTTTACTCCCTCCTTTTCTATGCAAATGTTCGCACATGACCTTACAACACTCTCACCCAGCACATATGACAGTTTGGGTCAAAATAAAAATAATTTTAAAGCTACAGCACAATAGTTAATTTCTTATCTGGCAACCCTACTGCCATGGAAACTATAGCATTTGCATGTAAACCTGTTCTTTAGTTTATTACCACCAATGAGCATTGAAAAAAACACTAATGTTTTAAGAGGTTGTTCTTTTGTAATCAAGGCTAGAATGAGGACTTTGACGAGCAAGTGGGAGACCCATTATTGGTTTCAGAAGAGGAAAAAGATGAAGAAAGCACAGAGTGCAACACTCCTGCCAGTGAATACACTACTGCCTGGAAATACACACTCCTGCCTGTGAATACACACTCCTACCTGTGAATACACACTCCTGCCTGTGAATGCACACTCCTGCCTGTGAATGTGCACTCCTACCTGTGAATACACACTCCTGCCTGTGAATACACACTCCTTCCTGTGAATACACACTCCTGCCTGTGAATACACACTCCTGCCTGTGAATACACATTCCTGACTGTGAATGCACACTCCTGCCTCTGAATACACATTCCTGCCAGTGAATGCACACTCCTGCCTGTGAATGTGCATTCCTACCTGTGAATACACACTCCTGCCTTTGAATGCACACTCCTGCCTGTGAATACACACTCCTGCCTGTGAATATACACTCCTGGCTGTGAATGTACACTCTTGTCTGTGAATGCACACTCCTACCTGTGAAAACACACTCCTGCCTGTGAATACACACTCCTGCCTGTGAATACACACTCCTGACTATGAATGCACACTCCTGCCTCTGAATACACATTCCTGCCAGTGAATGCACACTCCTGCCTGTGAATGTGCATTCCTACCTGTGAATACACACTCCTGCCTGTGAATACACACTCCTGCCTGTGAAGCACACTCTTGCCTGTGAATGTGCACTCCTACCTGTGAATACACACTACTGCCTGTGAATACACACTACTGCCTGTGAATACACACTCCTGCCTGTGAATACACACTCCTGCCTGTGAATACACACTCCTGCCTGTGAATACACACTCCTGCCAGTGAATGCACACTCCTGCATGTGAATGTGCATTCCTACCTTTGAATACATACACCTGCCTGTGAATACACACTCATGCCTCTGAATACACATTCCTGCCAGTGA